TTTCTTGTTCTTTTTATCTAAATTCCATCTTTCTGCGAATCTCTGCCCTTGATTACCCATTTTGATGTGCAGCAAAGCCGAGGAAGTCAGAGACTCGGGCAAAATGCGTGGTTCTTTTATGCTCTTTTCTACCAAACCTTCGATTGCACCGAGTGTTCCTGAGACCATTAAAACTTTGGCTGGTCAGGTCGGCGTCTCTGGTACCGGCAGAAGTGGCAACACCAGCAGCAGTAGCTGCCCTCTTTACCGTCGGTCAGTCAGTAGTCAAGCCTTTGCTCTTTCTGAAGGTCGTAGACGCAGACACCGACTTGCCAGGCAGCTCTATCAGACAAGGGAGACGAGACGCTGGCTCAACGACGTGCAACCGTCTAAAATGCCTGTCTTCTCCACTGTGGAGGCAAATGAGCAGATTACGAAAGAGACAGCAGAAATGTTGGCTACAGACAGGCTCGGTGTGCCGACGGGACGACGACCCTTGGACGAAACAGATTCTCCAAGGTATCTACGACCTAAATACGAGCCGGCGGATACGGAACCGGCCAAGCGTATCACTGGAAGACTTCACACCAAGCATAGAGTAATTTGTTGGTAATCGTCTTGTTTTACATCCTACTTCTTGTCGAAGTGTTCCAGTTTAGACTGGTATCCCGCTGGAATAAGAGAATTTCACTTTATAATGCCTCTAGAAAGGCCGTTGTCATGCCGGCTGTATCGTAGTTTTGGCCGCTTCTCATCGTCTTAGTTGCATCTACAGCGGGACTCGAACCATGGATGTGCGCTTTTAATTGTATGTCAGTGGTAAAACTAGAATCTCAACATCTGCGTGTCTAGACACAGTTTCATTAATTAATGAGCATAGCCATTGGATCAGTATGAGATGATACCTGCGTTTTCAGGCTCCAGTTTTATCTCCTTTTTGCAATTCGATCGTAATTTCCTTGATACTTCGGAAGGCCAACCCACTGCTGCAATGCATGGATACGAAGACCAAGATGTTGTGGCCTCTATTTTAGTCGCAGTCTCATTTCGATGTATAGTGGTTGTTTGACCTTGTTTTCGCAACTTGGTCATATTGGCAGGAAGTCCTAGAGGAACGCACCTTGTCCAGAGTCCACAGAACGCATGATAATCTCTAGAGTCGGACCGTGGACTTGGTACATTCTCAGACGTTTCACCGGCATCGTAGTCACCATCATCAGTGAGTCTTACCATTCTCCGCACCAAACTACAAACTCGTCAAATAGACATTTGAAGTCAATCTCTGGACCAACGTTCTGCCGAAACTGTTACACTATCACTCCTCTTTCTGCCCTTGCCCATCTATCCACTGCTTACCCTCTTATCCAACTCCAGCCCTATCACAACTCCTGACTTGTTTACATTCCACTCGTCAAAAGGTGTTCACTTTTTGGCAAGTTTAGTGTGACCTCATCACACCTACTGTTCACCTTGGCCCCCTATATTTCGATCGGCTAATCCGACCTGAGCCTTCTATCCGAATCTGCCTTATGGGCTATTTGTAACTCTGTGCTGATGATTGTACCTTTTACTGGCGATGCCGGCGAAACGTTTGGGAATGTACCAAGTCAGTGGTCCGATACTGGAAATCACGAATACTATGACAGAGGGCACAGGACTAGGTGTGTTCTACAAGATCTCTCTTACGCTCCGACCACGTTGCCAAAATGAGGTCGAACCAACTCTATAAAATTAAAGGAGACTTCGATCAGAGAGCCCACTTTCTTGGTCATTATATCTACCATGAAAAAAAAGCCTTGTGTAAAATGGACAGTGACTGGAAAGGAGGGACATCAGCCAACTAGTAAGATAAGAAAAAGGCATGAGAGGAATTCGGATGAGTTAAATAAAGTAATATATGGTAGTCTCTAAACTCTACTCAAATACGAAAAATTAAATAAAGTAGTTAGATCAGCATTCCCAACAAACCCAGAAGGGTAAGTAGGTTGACCTCGTTTTCGTAACTTTATCTTGTTGTTACGGAGATTTAGTCGGACTTATCTTGTCCCAAGTCCTCTGTCATGGTAGTTATCATATGTCCCAGTGTCAGACCGTTGCAAAAAGGCAGGTCAAACTACTACTGCTGCACGACACATCATGTCTTCTCGACTATTCGAAAGTCATGATGCAAAGCGAATCGTTTGGGCAGCTATTGAGTTGCTGATTAGAATTCATTCATCCGAAAGCAATCTAGATAAATGTAGATGCACACCTTCATTCACCTAATGTCGTGGATATTGGTAATTGATAGTTTAACGACGAATTCCAAAGAGGGTCCAACATTGTTCAGTCCATTTCAGGATGAAATATAGTTTCTGTCCATTTTTGGCCTGGCCATCTATCACAGCTGCATTGAAATCCAAGTTATTTGTCCAAGTCGGCATTGTACTCAATCTAGAAGATGTTTTCGGTGACTTCTTTAAATCTCTTTTATAGTATAGTGCTATGCCTAAGCTGCTTGGTTGGTAGCTTTGAGTGCATATAATTTCAAAGTCTATAATTTTACTTCCAGCTTCCATAGCAGTATAGTCCCTTAATCAGCATAATCTACTGATTCAATTGTTGAGCTCATTTTATAAGATTAGGTATAGGGTATAGGTACAGGATTTAGGGATAACCTGGTGAATTCTCTTGACTCACTAGCTTGAATATAGTTGTGAGAATGATACCTTACTCGGATTATGTCTGTCATATAGTTGACGAAATAATAACATGTTTTCACCACGATCAATGGAGAATGCCTCGAATACGACGTCGACAAGAATGTTCCAGTAAAACCAATCGACAGCTGGCCGAGAAGAACTCGCTGCCCTCTTCTGGAAGGATTGACCTTCGTATCGCTTTTCCAAACATTTTCACTCCAATTGGAAGTGAGCCTAGGAATTATAAATCAAGCGAAGATATGAAGACCAAGATGGTGTGGCCTCTGGTATGGTCGCAGTCTCCTTTCGATCTATAGAAGTGTGTTGACCTCGTCGCAACTTGGTCTTGTTGTCAGGGCGACTTAGTAGAACGC